TAAATAAATAAAATCTTTAAAAAAAAAAAAAAAAGAAACACTGGTACAGTGTGAGCTAGACTGCAGACCTTGTTCATTTTTCACATGGATGTGTGCGTGGCTCTGTGCCGTTTTATCCCTCGTATAGGCTCACGGAACCACCAAGATACGGATTGTTCCATCACCACAAAGGAACCCCCTGGTGCAGCCCCTTTATAGTTGCAGCTTTCTTTCTTTCTTTTTAAGATTTTTATTTGACAAGAGACAGAGAGCAAGAGAGCACAAGCAAGGGGAACTGCAGAGGGAGAGGGAGAAGCAGACTCTGCTGAGCAGGGAGCCCGATGCGGGGCTCTATCCCAGGACCCTGGGATCATGACCTGAGCCGAAGGCAGATGCTTAACTGACTGAGCCACCCAGGCGCCCCTAGTTGCAACTTTCTTCCCTTCCTCCTGTCACCTGACAACAACTAGTCTGTTCTCCATCTCTATAGTATCGTCAGTTCAGAGATGTTATTTGTTTGCTTTTAGTTGAATGTGAGTACCTTCGGAGGGTGCTCTTCCGTTTACTTTAGGCCTCACCGTTGTCTGTTTTCTCCCGTGACTGTCTTCAGACATTTAGATTGCCTGCCAGGCACTTGTTGGAGATTGCTGCCTTGGCCAGTCGTTAATTAGACCCGGGTTTCTCGGTGGACCCCTGGCTACTGCCCCTTCCCCAGGCTGGCAACTGTGGCTTCAGACCCGCTCCTCTCCCTGCCTCACCCTGTAGATGCAGGCCCTGACTTCCTGTGAGTGCACCATCTGCCCTGACTGCTTCCGCCAGCACTTCACTATCGCCTTGAAGGAGAAGCACATTACCGACATGGTGTGCCCCGCCTGTGGCCGCCCCGACCTCACCGATGACACACAGCTGCTCAGCTACTTCTCTACCCTTGACATCCAGGTACTGCAGTCCCTAGGACTCGGGGTGCCCTGGGCTTTGAACAGGAACCCTGCCCACCTACCACTTCTGCATCCTGTCCCCAGCTTCGGGAGAGCCTGGAGCCAGATGCCTATGCGCTGTTTCACAAGAAGCTGACTGAGGGTGTGCTCATGCGGGACCCCAAGTTCTTGTGGTGTGCCCAGGTAAGTGGCCTGCGCAGGGGAGCTGACTGGAGGGGGTGGGGGGAGGGCAGGGTGCCAGACCAGGCCTCAGATAGCTTTATGCTCTTGCACCCACAGTGCTCTTTTGGCTTCATATATGAACGGGAGCAGCTGGAGGCAACGTGTCCCCAGTGTCACCAGACCTTCTGTGTGCGCTGTAAGCGCCAGGTGAGGCACATTCATCCTTTCAGAAAGAACTCGCTAAGCTACTGGCAGGTACTATGTCAGACTCGGGGTATGCCGAAGCACGGAACAGACGTGAGCTCTGGGCTCGAGGAGCTTGCAGACTAGTCAGGAAAGGAGGGAGGGACAGAGGGAGACAGGGAGGCGAGGGGGAGGGAGGGTGAAAGGTAAGGTAACGGAGGAAGGAATGGGGAGGGAGGGAGGGAAGGAAGGAAAGGGGGTGCGGGAGGGAGAGAGCCTAAGTACACATGGCCTAAGTTCTGTAAAGAAGACACAGGAATCGGAGATTAGGAATAACAGAGCAGACCTACTTAGGATAGAGAAGTCAGACAAGTCTTCTCTAAAATGGTTTAATTTAAGCTCAGGCCTGAAAGTTAAGAAGAAGCCAACTTTGCAAAGGATATTCGGGACAGAAAGAACAACACATGGAAAGGCCAAAGTCAGAAAAAGTGTTGTGTGGCTGGAGCCCCAAGAGCAAGGGTGAGAGTGGCAGGCGGTCGGAGGGGAGCTAGCTGCCAGATCAGGAGAGGCCTTGAGGCCAAGTGAGGAAGGTATTTGCCTTTTATTCTAAGACTAAGCAAGGGGTGATACTGTCTCATTTGCCTTTTAAGAAGTTTAATATTTGAGTGCTCGCTTTGGCAGCACATATTCTAAAAAGTTTAACGTCAGATACCAAAAAGTGACATCTCTATTACAAAACACAATAGTAATAAAATGACCACCTGAGACCCTACCACTAAATCTCGAAACTAGAACACTCCCAGTGCTCTTGAAGCCGCCCGCCTTACATTCTCCAAGGCTCCTTGGCCGCAGGGTGGAGCGTGCACTGCAGGCGAGCAGGTGCGGAGGCAGACACACCAGGACCCGAGGCAAGACCTGACCTGGCCTGGAGTAGCGGGGCCATAGTAGGGATGAAGAAAAGGGACAGGGCTGAGATAGGCTTGGGGGGTGGACAGAAGACCTGCTAGTGAATATGTGCCGGTATGAGGAAGCGAAGGAACCCAGGCTAGCCCCTTGGTTTGAGATGGGAGCCAATGGCGAAGGACAGTGCCACAAACTAAGCCAGGGACCACTAGGTAGGAGAGGCGGGGCCCTCAGGAAGGGCCCAGGGTGGAGTTTTCAGGTGAAGCTTGCTTTCCCTCCTGCAGTGGGAGGAGCAGCACCGAGGCCGGAGCTGCGAGGATTTCCAGAACTGGAAACGCACCAATGACCCAGAATACCAGGCCCAGGGCCTGGCCATGTATCTCCAGGAGAATGGCATTGGTAAGGGTGGCCCTCCAGGCCTGTTTGCCAGGTCATTTGTCACTGCCCGCGGCTCTCTTCCTAAGGGCCTTGTGGAGCGGTGGCAGCCCCAGCCCTGACCTGCTGTCCTTTGCAGACTGCCCCAAGTGCAAGTTCTCGTACGCGCTGGCCCGAGGAGGCTGCATGCACTTTCACTGCACCCAGTGTCGCCACCAGTTCTGCAGTGGCTGTTACAATGCCTTTTACGCCAAGAATGTGAGCCGGAGAATGGGGATGGAAGGGACAGGAGGGTGGGCGGCTGCCACTGGGTGGGCAGGGGGAGCAAAGGCATGGAGGAGTAGCCTAGGGGAAGAGAAGGGGAGGCCAGTGGGGTGTAAAGCACCTCTCTCTGTCCCCCTTCTGCCTGCTCCAGACCCTCCAATATCTCCATCTTCCCCCATCCCTAGACCCCTCATGCAGGGGTTCTGAGAAGCCAGGACCCCAACCGTCTCCAACTTCCCCTCTCCCATCTGGGTTTCCGCCAGAAATGTCCAGACCCTAACTGCAGGGTGAAAAAGTCCCTGCATGGCCACCACCCACGAGACTGCCTCTTCTACCTGCGGGACTGGACTGTTCTCCGGCTCCAGAAGCTGCTACAGGTCAGGGGTGGCCAGCCTGGCTGGGTTTGCAGATTGCCCAGGGTAGGAGGCAGGGCCCCGGGTGGCAAGAAAGGAAAGGCTCCCTGCTGGGCAATTCAGCGGGGCTGGCATCAAGGGGAATCTAACGCCCATCCTTCTGCCCCTCCTCAGGACAATAATGTCATGTTCAACACAGAGCCCCCAGCAGGGGCCCGGGCGGTTCCTGGCGGTGAGTGTCGGGACAAGCCTGGGAGAAGGGGTGAGGGCGGGCTGGGCTCCCACTGTGTTGTGGGTAAGGGGGAGGCTTGGGTGTGTGGTCAGAGCTCGGCCTGTGCTGACTTGTGTGTTTCTGGGCAAATTAACCTCTCTGGGCCTACTTTCTTCCTCTGTGATGTGGGAGTAATACGCCTACTTTGCAGCTCAGCTGTTTTACATGAGGCCACATTGAAGCACCTGGCACTTGATCCTAATTTCCTTCTCCCATTCCCGAAGGATAATGACTCGTTAACTCAATAACGAGACTTGCTAGTTGCACTGTTTTAGATTCTAAGAGGACAACAGGGAGAGGTTACCTATGGTTCTAATCTGCCCCACCCCTTATTACCATAAGGTAAGACCTTCCCAGAGTAAGTTAACTAGGCCCGAGCTAAATCACAGCCAAAAGAGTTGTCTCAAGAGAGTATGTGACGATAAACAAAAGAGAAAGAGTAGTGATTACGGACCAAAAGCAAGCTTGGATAAAAACAGGGCCAGCAAGACCCCTGCTTGTGTGTCAGAGCTGGGCTGCCATGGCGCTCTCTCTCAGCTCCCACGGCCCTCTGACCCCCAGCACTGTTAGGGCAGTCCCCTCCCTGGAGGCTGCCTCCCCTGCCTCCGTTGATACCCCAGCTCTCCGGGGGCTTCGTGGTTAGTGATGTCCTCCCAACACAAGGGTCCCTTCCTTCCCTTATCCTTAGGTGGCTGCCGAGTGATGGAGCAGAAGGAGGTTCCTAATGGGTTCCGGGATGAAGCCTGTGGCAAGGAGACCCCGGCTGGCCATGCTGGGCTCTGCCAGTGAGTATCAGTCATGGCCCGGAGCTCGGTGGTGGGGACGGCGCGCCTGGGGAGTACCGGGGGGCTGCGGGAGTGGTGGGTCCTGCAGGGGAAGTGGTGGAGGGAGCTGTCTGGGCAAGGGCGTGGCTACGTGGTGCACAGGGAGTGTGTGCCTACCGGGGCAAGCGGCAGGAGTTTCAGTCTTGTTCGCCTGAGTAGGCGAGTGCCTGGCAAGGTGCTGGGCACGCTAGCTTAATGTTAGCCGGACGGAAGAACAAATACCCTGTCGTCTCCCCAGGGCACACTACAAAGAATATCTTGTGAGCCTCATTAATGCCCACTCACTGGACCCAGCCACCCTGTATGAGGTAGAGGAGCTGGAAACAGCTGCTGAGCGCTACCTGCACGCACGCCCTCAGCCAGTGGCCGGGGAGGACGCCCATGCCTACCACGCCCGCCTATTACAGGTAAAGCACCCCCCCAGCCTCACCTCTGACCCACGCCCTAGAAGTCCCCTGTCCAGCCTGTGTCTGAGCTCTAGGCTTCCAGTGTGATCATTTTCTCTCTCCTTCTGCAGAAGCTGATGGAAGAGGTGCCCTTGGGACAGAGTATCCCTCGCAGGAGGAAGTAGCTGAGGACAAGGATCCTCTTGAGGGTCTCAAGGCCCAACCTCCTCAGGAACAGCTCCAGCACCAATAAAGAGGCATCTCCTTGCCCAGGCTTTTTGGTGGTCCTTCTTCTGGCCCCACCATCTGGGGCACCAGGGAGAGAGGGGGGTGAACTGAGAGCTTTGCTGAAAGGGTTGCCTGCAGCCCACCACCTGACCCTCCTTGGACTCAGGGCCAGGAAGGTATTGACACCATGGATGGCCAAGAAGCCCCTCCCCAGCCAGCCACCTGGCCTGGGCTTTCTCCTCCCCTACCTCCTTTGTTCCTTCCTGGAATTTGGCTGATATTTGAGGTCACCTACTAGGCACCAGGCAGGCACAAGGGGGAAAACACAGATGCACGGGTGCTATAGGGCCAGCCAGAGGACTCAGGCCAGACTCCAGGACCCTGGCCTCCCTGGGAAGCAGCAGTGTCACAGAGATCAGGGAGTAGCTAAAGGGGTTGTGGGGGGGAGAGGGTTGGAAATGAGCCTGAGCGGGGAGGAGCCCTCCTGTGTCCGACCGTGGGATTCCAACAGCGAGGTCCTCAGGTGCTGCTGCTGCCCCCTGGTGGCGCGCGGTTGCCCTACAGCTCAGGCCACGTGATTTCCGAGAAGAGGCCCTGCCTAGAGGAGAACTGAAACTTAGGGTGGGGACTGTAGGAAGGGGCGGAGAGATCAGGACGCTGCCTGGACGGCTGCTGAGCCAAGGGCAGCTGCATCCTGGGACAGTCAGCGAGCCGCGCAGGTAAGACTGGCCGAGAGTGGACGTCAGCCTGGGTCTAGAGCTGGAAGGCCCGGCCGGATCGGAGGCGGGGGGCGGGTCTCCCGGGGCCCCTCCGCGGAACAGGAATATACAGGTGGCTTGTGAGCCAGGACGGGGTGGTTTGGCCTGAGTGAGAGACTGGCCACGGGCCAGAGTCCCCAGCCCTGGAGGCAAAGGACACGAGGCCCTGCTGATAGGTTGTTGGAAGTCTCAGCCCTGGCTCCAGCTGCCCCGGTTTATTTTCTTGCCTTCTGGCCCTGCCCACTTCCGCTGCAGCCCTGCCCCACCTACCCCAGAGGCAAGCAGAGGGGAAGGGTTGGTGGGATCAAACCTAGATTATGGGGCTGGTGGGTGAGGGACCTATGGGGCATCTCAGAAGCCCATACTACCTCTGCAAATGCTTGAGGTAGAGAGCGGGCCTCTCCCCACGAGCCACACCAAGGCCACACCAAGGGAGTTCTCTGCTAGACAGATTCCTGAAAAGTCTTAAAACTAAGACCAATGTCTAAGGTTTCCTTCCAGATATCACAGCTTGGGATGTTAAAAGGAATGTATTTCTTTGTCATTACTAATAAAGGGAGAAACGACACAATTTGGCCCCAGAATTTTGAGAAATGTCTACAGGCAAAAGATGGATGGGATCACTGGGGGCCCTTGCCAGGATCCAACCCCGGGACAGATGTTCCCTCCCACGGTGTTGATTCCACTGATGCTACCTGCGACTCTTGTCCCCAGGATGGCATCAGGCAGGGCACGCTGCACCCGAAAGCTGCGGAACTGGGTGGTGGAGCAAGTGGAGAGCGGGCAGTTCCCCGGGGTGTGCTGGGACGATGCAGCCAAAACCATGTTCCGGATCCCCTGGAAGCACGCGGGCAAGCAGGACTTCCGGGAGGACCAGGATGCCGCCTTCTTCAAGGTGAAAGAGCCCGGAAAGCAGCCCCTCCGAGGGAAGGGCGGCGTATACACTGAAGCTCTCGCCCTCCAGGGGTTGTGTCGGCCTGGGTTTCAGAGAAAGAAGAGATGGGAGGGTAGAACCAGCTGCATTTTGGATACAGCCCGATACAAAGTGAAAGTGCAAAAATTGTGAAGGGTTTCGAGACAGCGGTAGCAGAGCATAAACCCAAGCGCTGGGCCTTCTGTGCACGCACTCAGGTGGTGGGACCTCGAAGCTGGCCGGGGTGTGTGACATGCTGCCTCTGCTTTACTTCCTGTGTTTTGAAGGCCTGGGCGATATTTAAGGGGAAGTACAAGGAGGGGGACACGGAAGGCCCTGCTATCTGGAAGACTCGTCTGCGCTGTGCCCTCAACAAGAGTCCTGAATTTGAGGAGGTTCCTGAGAATGGCCATAGGGACGGAGCTGAGCCCTACAAGGTGTATCGGCTGCTTCCGCCGTCAGGGACCCTCCCCGGTGGGTGTCTCCTTGCCCAGCCACTCCTAGAAGCAGCACACTGGGGACGGAGGGAGGATGGAGATGGGAGCCTTCTGGGAGGGTGCTGGGCCTCTCCCCAGGTTCCTCATTCAGAGTTCTACCCTGTCCCTGTCCTTGGGGAGCTGCTGCCCAGGTTCCCCTGCCTGGTCCTGTCCATCCTTTCACTGCCCCCCTGTCCTACCCTCTGTCCCCAATTAAGGCTCTGACCTTTCTCCCCCTCCACAATATTCCACAGCCCAGCTGGGGACCCAGAAATCACCATCAAAGCGACGTCACAGTTCTGTGTCCTCTGAGAAGGAGGATGAGGGTACCACAAAGAACAGCAAGCTCAGTTCCTCCTTGCTTGAGGACCCCCTCAGAAATGTAAGAGCTGGGGAGGGACTGGGGGTGGGGGGCCCAAGGGCAGGACGGTCACTAGGGGAGAGGTGGGCCAACGATAGTCACTGTGTCTGCAGGAGGAGGTGGGGGCCAATGGGGGAGCAGGCCATTCAAACTTCGGGAGCGGCGGCGGCAGCAGCCCCGAGCCTCAGGAAGGTACCACCTGCCCTGCCTCTGTTCGTTGCCCCCATGCCGTAGCCTCTGGCCCTTGGATTCCCCGTTCCCATTCTGAACTGTACGCCTCTGCTTCTCCTATAGGGACAGATACAACTGAAGCCCCTTTCCAAGGAGATCAGGTGTCACTGGAGTTTCTGCCCCCTCCAGACTCAGGTGTGTGGCGTTTCTGACTCATCCCTGCTCCCTGTCCCCCTAGCTTGTCTCCCTGTCATTGTGCATGCGTTATTGGATCAGTCAGGGTTTGCAGCAAACGGCCCACCTTACCCAGGCAGAGGCACCAGTTTCTCAGCAGTACACCTGGCCAGACTCCAGACTCCAAACAGCTCAATTCTCAAAAATACCCCCTATGCACTCTATTCCCTGAAATCCACTTTGAGACATTAATTCCTGTCGGTCAAACAGAGACCCAATCTCTGGGACCTTCTTATAAACTGTAAGACCCTGGGCAATAAGCACTGAGACCTCAGGGGGCATTTGTGTATCAGCTCCTCTCCTGAGTGACAGGAAAGTCTGACAGGAAGCCCCTTGGCTGGTGAGGGTGGCCGGAGGGCGGATGAGGAGGGAAGTGCCTTCTCTAACCTCAGGAGGTGAAGCCGCTACCCCCGCCCTCGCTTGGTTTCCCTCTTGGACCTCCTGTTTCTCACCAGCAAAATGAGGATGTGGGATTTGCAAGGAGCCCCTCCTCATTTCCTCAGGCCCTGGTGCTGACCAGGCGGACCCCTCGGGTGAAGTCCAGGTGCAGCTGGTGGTTCTCTGTCCGCAGACTACTCGCTGCTGCTCACCTTCATCTACGACGGGCGTGTGGTGGGTGAAGCCCAGGTGCAGAGCCTGGACTGCCGCCTCGTGGCCGAGCCCTCGGGCTCCCAGTACGGAATGGAGCAGGTGGTCTTTCCCAAACCTGACCCACGAGAGCCCACCCAACGCCTGCTGAGCCAGATCGAGAGGGGCGTCCTGGTAGCCAGCAACTCCCGGGGCCTCTTCGTGCAGCGCCTCTGCCCCATCCCCGTCTCCTGGAATGCGCCCCAGGCACCACCCGGTCCCGGCCCGCATCTGCTGCCCAGCAATGAGTGCGTGGAGCTCTTCAGAACCAACTACTTCTGCAGAGGTGAGGCTGTTGCAGCTGAGCGGAGCCCATGCCCCCACCTCTTAGTCCCCCCGGGACCTGCTAGGCTCTGCCACCACCCTGTTTCCTCCAGTAGATCCTTCCTTACAGCTCATGTGCGCGGTGCACAGCCTGTGGGGCCCTGGGCTCAGCCCCACAGCTGCCTGGCAGCCGCCCTTCCCCGGCGCAGGCCTCGGAAGATGAGGCTCAGGGGGAGCTCAGCACACGAGTCCCATCTCGGGGACTGCCCCCGCGTGGCAGCAGACAGTAACGGGAAGGTGCGCCCCCGGGGCCTCCCCAGTGTCTACACTTACGCACACGCCATCGACATATTTGGGAGCGCTGGTGCACATTACCCACGCCAGCCGTGCCACACCCCAGGCAGCTCCCCTGATTGCCCTTCTCCCGTCCACTCCTCCAGTTCCACTTCCTGCCTCCATTCATTTCTAAATCTGACCTTAGGAGTTAGGGGCCAGGAGTATAGGGGACGCAGGGTAGGAACGTCCCAGGGCCAGGGGTGCCCTTGGTAGGGAGGGTGTGAGCAGGCAACAGGGGGTGGGGGGCACCTCTGTGTTAGCAGCCCAGACTGCTGCCATGAGGACTCCAGGCTCTTCCAGCAGAGAGCTTTGCAGGTTGTATAAAAATCAGTTACCTTAAAACACTTCTTACTTGGAGAAGGGGCACCCTTTCGTATTTGCACACGGGTGAGAAGTAGCAGAGTTGCTGGCATTTCTCCTGACGTGAGGGAACAGCCTCGTGACCCCGCAGCTCCTGTTCTGGCTCTGGTCTCCAATTGGCCCCACAATCACCGCTCTTTGTCCAGGATGGGCCCCTCTCTATTCCCACCCTCCCTGTGACCTCTCTCTTCTCTTTTCTTTCTTCCAACCCTTTACCCTTTCTCTTTCATCAGACTTGGCCAGGTACTTCCAGGGCCTGGGCCCCCCACCCAAGTTCCAGGTGACACTGAATTTCTGGGAGGAGAGCCCCAGCCCCAACCATACCCCAAAGAGTCTTATCACAGTGCAGGTGAGTTCAGGGCGGGGGAAGGCCAGCCTCCCTGTGGGGGTGGGGTGGGGGTGGGTTCCAGGAGGAGAAGGGGCCTCTGGGGGAAAGGAACTCCTAGGGGTAGTGTCTGCCTCAGCTGTGCTCATGATCATCTCTTCCCCACCTCTTTTGGCACAGATGGAGCAGGCCTTTGCCCGACATTTATTGGAGGAGACTCCAGAGGAGCAGTCAGCCACTCTGTCCCTGCTGCAGAGCCTGGGGGACCCATCTTCGTCCTCTCCTCTCTGTTCCTCCTATCTCCTTTGAAAGAGACTCATTCTCCACACTGTTGACTTGCCTCCCTCGGTGATAATTCTCAATGGTTGTCTCTGATGGTTACGTCCTTGAACTGACGATACACCTGGCTGGCAGAGAACTCAGGGGTGATTTTTATCCACCCCACCACCTTTTTGTTTTGTTTTGTTTTTTTGAGATATGCCTTCTTTCATCTCTGAGGAACCGACCTGGGAAAGTACAAATGGTGTGAACTCAGGGGACCTTTCCTCTTCCCCCACCCCTAAAGCCAAGCACTTTATATTTTCTTCTTAGATGTTCACTAGGGATTTAAAATAAAACTTTATTGAAAGAGGAGTCAGTATCTGCTTTGTTGGGTTGAAAAGGTAGCAGGGGTCACAGGGAAGTGCTAAAGATGTAATTTGAGAGCGAAATACTTGGGTTTTCTTCCTGCTGACCTCTCTGGGCCCCTTTCCTCTCCTCCACCCACAGGCTCTGGCTAGGAAGCTGTCTGGGCTCCGTGGGTTCCGGGCCTGGGGAGAGGATCGAGGTTAACCACCACGAAGAGCACAACCCACGGCTGCTGTTGCCATCAACTTCACATGGAAAAATCTGGGCTCCGCTCTTCTTGGCTAGAGGCCTCTGATTCGGGCCTTACAACAGGCTTAGAGTTGGACTCTGGGCTGGAGGTCTAAATGAACAGGAGAACTTGAAGTTGCCCTCAAACTATGGGCTAGAGGCACTGGAGCCTGGGAAGGGACGGGGGACCAGAGGGAAGAGCTGCTGAGCCTCCTATGCTGAGGGAGGCCAGGCCCCGGTGCCTCTTCTCCCAGCACATGGGGCACTGTCACCCCAACAGAAGGGGACTCCCAGCCTGGTTTCCTTGCTCTACCTAAGCCTCACAAAAGACCATCTGGCCTAGACCGCCATGTCACCAACACTCTGTTGGCTGAGATTTGAGGGCTCCAAATCAGCTGACACTCCTCTCCCTTACCCCCTGTGTTTATTTTGCCACCAAACTGAAAGTTTTCCCTTCACAGGCCACTTGTCATCTTACCTCTCCACTCACGTCCCGCAGACCAGTTCAGACCTAAGTCACCACTTAGCTGATGCCGCAGCCTCCAACTTCCCCCTTCCTGCAGGGGACACCAGCTTGGAGGAGAGGGGCCTCCCAGATCAAACTCTTCCCTGTCATGTCGCTCTTATAAGCCTCCCTGGTTCATCTACTTGATCAAAACCAACACGCCTAGATCCTCAAGGATCTTACTGTCGCATTTGACAAACTTCAGTGCTGCCTTCAAGCCTTTCTGCCTCCTTGGACCTTCCTTCTCTTCAGTCTTGCCCATCATCCTCCTGAGAAGCCAAGAGCCCAAACAGGCATCTGCATTAGCAGGGAAGAAAGCAGGTACTGAGTGCGCGGGTACACGAACTCTGTTGTGCCGTTGATTTGCTAAAATCCCTCCTGGCCCTTGTTTGCACTTGCTACCTCCTTGACTTCCATCTTCTTTCTTTTCCTTTCTTTTTAATTTTAATTCCAGTATAGTTAACATACAGTATAGTTAACACATGTACAATTCTTTATCCATTTATCTATCGATGGATATCTAGCCATAGTTTGGCTATTGTAGATAAGGCTGCTATAAACACAGGGGGGCATGTATCCTTTTGAATTAGTGCTTTCATATTCTTTGGGTAAATACCCTGTAGTGGAATTACTGAATCATATAGTAGTTCTATTTTTATTTTTATTATTTTTTTAAAGATTTTATTTATTTATTTGACAGAGAGAGGGAACACAAGCAGGGGGGAGGGATAGAGGGAGAAGCAGACTCCCCACTGAGCAGGGAGCCCGATGTGGGACTCGATCCCAGGACCCTGGAATCATGACCTGAGCCGAAGGCAGACACTTAATGACTGAACCACCCAGGTGCCCCAGTAGTTCTATTTTTAATTTATTAAGGAACCGCCATACTGTTGTCCACAGAGGCTGCACCAGTTTGCATTCCCACCCACAGTGCACAGGGTTGCTTTTTCTCCACATTCTCTCTGACACCTGTTGTTTCTTGTATTTTTGATTTTAGCCATTCTGAGAGGTGTGAGGTGATATAACTCATTGTGGTTTTGATTTGCATTTCCTTGAGGATGAGTGATGTTGAGCATCTCTTCATGTGTCTCTTGGCTGCCGTCTGTATGCTTTCTTTGGAGAAATGTCTGTTCATGTCTTCTGTCCATTTTTTAATATTGGACTATTTGTTTTTCTGGTGTTGAGTTGTATAAGTTCTTTATATTTTTTGGATACTAACCCTTTATGAGATATGTCGTTTGCAAATATCTTCTCCCATTCAGCAGGTTGCCTTTTAGTTTTGTTGATGGTCCCCTTCACTATGCAGAAGCTTTTTATTTTGTTGTAGTCCCAATAGCTTATTTTTGCTTTTGTTTCCCTTGCCTCAGGAGACATATCTAGAAAAATGGTACAGCTGATGTCAGAGAAATTACCACCTGTGCTCTCTTTTAAGATTTTTATGGGTTTTTTTTAAAGATTTTATTTATTGATTTGACAGAGAGAGACACAGTGAGAGAGGGAACACAAGCACGGGGAGTGGTAGAGGGAGAAGCAGGCTTCCTGCTGAGCAGGGAGCCCGATGTGGGGCTCGATCCCAATACCCCGGGAACATGACCTGAGCCGAAGGCAGATGCTTAACGACTGAGCCACCCAGGCGCCCCGATTTTTATGGTTTTAAGTCTCACTTTCAGGTCCTTAATCTGCATTCAGTTTATTTTTATGTATGGTGTAAGAAAGTGGTCCAGATGCATTCTTTTGCATGTTGCTGTCCAGTTTTCCCACCACCATTTGTTGAAGAGACTGTCTCTTTCCCATTGCACAATTCTTGCCAACTTTGTTGAAGATTCATTGACCATATAGTTGTGCGTTTAATTCTGGGCTCTCTATTCTGTTCCATTGATCAGTGTGTATTTTGTAAATATTTATTTATTTATTTTAGAAGGAGAGCGAGCACAAGTGGGAGGGGCAGAGAGAGAGGGAGAGAGACTCTCAAGCAGACCCTGCACTGAGCACAGAGCCAGATGTGGGGCTTGATCCCAGGACCCTGAGATCATGACCTGAGCCAAACCCGAGAGTCAGACACTCAACTGACACACCACCCAGGCGCCCCTCTCTGTGGCTATTTTCATGCCAGTACTATACAGTTTTTATTACTACAGCTATGACCTGAAGTCTGGAATTACGATGCCTCCAGCTTTGCTTTTCTTTCTCAGAATTGCTTTGGCTATTCGAGGTTTTTTTGTGGTTGCATACAAATTTTAGGATTGTTTGTTCTAGTTCTTTGAAAAATACGGTTGCTATTTTGATAGGGATTGCATTAAATCTGTAGATTGCTTTGGGTAGTATAGATGTTTTAACAATATTTGTTCATCCAGTTCATGAGCATGGAATGTCTTTCCATTTTTTTGTGTCATATTCAATTTCTTTCATCAGGGTTTTATAGTTTTTAGAGTACAGATCTTTTACCTCTTTGATTAAGTTTATTCCTAGGTATTTTATTATTTTGGGTACAATTATAAATGGGATTGTTTTCTTAATTTCTCTTTCTGCTGCTTCATTATTAGTGTATAGAAATGCAATGGATTTCTGTACATTAATTTTGTATCCTGTGACCTTATTGAATTCATTGATCAGTTCTAGTAGTTTCTTGGTGGAGTTTTTAGGGTTTTCTATATATAGTATCATGTCATTTGCAAATAGTGAAAATTTTACTCCTTCCTTACCAGTTTGGATGCCTTTTATTCCTTTTTCTTGTCTGATTGCTGTAGCTAATACTTCTAGTACTATGTTGAATAAAAGTGGTGAGAGTGGACATCCTTACCTTGTTCTTGACCTTAGGGGAAAAGCTTTCAGTTTTTCCCCATTGAGAATGCTGTTAGCTTTGGGTTTTTCATATATGGCCTTTATAAGGTTGAGGTATGTTCCCTCTAAACCTGCGTTGTTGAGCGTTTTTATCATGAATGAATGTACTTCGTCAAATGTTTTTTTCTGCATTTATTGAAATGATCATATCTTTTTTATCCTTTCTCTTATTGATATGACGTATTGTGATTGATTTGCAAATATTGAACCACCCTTGCAACCCAGGAGTAAATCCCACTTGAACGTGATGAATGATTTTTTTAGTGTATTGTTGGATTCAGTTTGCTAGTATTTTGTTGAAGACTTTTGCATCTCTTCATCAGAACTACTGGCCTATAGTTTTCTTTTTTTGTGGGGTCTTTGTCTGGTTTTGGTATCAGGGCAGTGCTGGCCTCCTACAATGAATTTGGAAGCATTCCTTCCTCTTCTATTTTTTTTTTTTAAGATTTTATTTACTTATTTGACAGAGAGAGAGAGAACAAGCAGGGGGAGTGGGAGAGGGAGAAGCAGGCTCCCCACTGTGCAGGGAGCCCAACGTGGGGCTCCATTCCAGGACTCTGGGATCACGACCTGATCCGAAGGCAGACACTTAACCAACTGAGCCACCCAGGCACCCCTATTTTTTGGAATAGTTTGAAAAGAATAGGTATTAACTCCTTTTTTTTTTTTTAAGATTTTATTTATTTATTTGACAGAGAAAGACACAGCAAGAGAGGGAACACAAGCAGGGGGAGTGGGAGAGGGAGAGGGAGAAGCAGGCTTCCCGCGGAGCAGGGAGCCTGATGTGGGGCTCAATCCCAGGACCCTGGGATCATGACCTGAGCCAAAGGCGGCCGCTTAACGACTGAGCCACCCAGGCGCCCCTAACGCCTTTTTAAATGTTTGGTAGAACTCCCCTGTGAAGCCATCCAGTCCTGGACGTTTGGGAGTTTTTTGATCACAGATTCAATTCCACTGCTGCTAATCAGTCTGTGCAAATTTTCTATTTCTCTCTGATTCAGTTATGTTTCCAGGAATTTACCCATTTCTTCTAGGTTATCCAATTTGTTGGCATATAATTCTCCATAATATTCTTTGATAATCTTTTGTATTTCTGTGGTGTTGTTGTTTCTCCTCTTTCATTTCTGATTTTACTTGATTCCTCTTTTTTCTTATGAGTCTAGCTAAAGATTTATCAATTTTGTTGATCTTTTCAAAGAACCAGCTCCTAGTTTCATTGATCTATCTTTTTTTTAAAATTTAATTTTAGGGGCGCCTGGGTGGCTCAGTCGTTAAGTGTCTGCCTTCGGCTCGGGTCATGATCCCAGGGTCCTGGGATCGAGCCCCGCATCGGGCTCCCTGCTCGGCGGGAAGCCTGCTTCTCCCTCTCCCACTCCCCCTGCTTGTGTTCCCT